GTGGTTAGCGTCTTCAGGGAAGTACATTGGAAGGGCTTTAAAAAATTCGTGTCGGTTGTGTCGTTGTGCTGGGGTGTAGATGACGTGAATAAACATTTGAATTTCTTGAATTCTTCCTTGAATGACCATGTAGCGATTCTTCAAGGTGTCACAGTCGTAGTTGTTCGTGATGTCTTGGCAATTGGTGATGGGGCATTGGTCGTCGAGTAGCAATCCAACTCCGTCATGGCCATCGAAGTGTTGACTTGTGTGATGTGACCAGATTGGCCAAAAGCATCAGTGACCTTCCATGCTTGAATTGCACGTTCGAGGCTGAATTTGTTGGCGAACTTCGTTTCTTGAAAAGCCACGAAGGAAAACTTGGAAAGATGAGACAGGATGGACGGGTTGAGTGTGTTGAGGCCATTGGCATTGATGGAAATGCAACTTAGTTTCTTGGCAATTTAGTTCCTTGGGAACTAAATTGCATTTCCATCAATGCCAATGGCCTCAACACACTCAACCCGTCCATCCTGTCTCATCCACGCCTAATTTAGTTCCCAAGGAACGCTTAATTTAGTTCCCAAGTTCCCAAGGAACTCAAGAAACTAAATTAGGCGTGGTAGCAGTCCAAATGTTTCGTGCCAGACTTCCTTGAATTCGCCGCTTTCTGGAATTAAATGCTGAAGCTCGGCCATGTAGGTCCATAAGGGCTTGCTTGGACTTCCTTCAGCGAGTTCGTGTTCTCGAATGTCTTCTGCTTCGCGAACCCAATGCGAGTTGGTGGATCGTTGAAAGAATCGTTGAGAGGCATGGCCGTAAGCGCGTTCTCCAAGGATATCCAGGTTCGATGGGACTTTGGTGTCGATCAACGCCAGTAAAAGGCCGGGGTGTTGTTGAACCATGGAGAGTGCCTTGGAAGGGTCTTCTTCAAGAGTGTACTGCGTTGAATATCCTTCAAGAAATTGGGAGACTTCTTCAAGGGTCATGGCTTCCACGTCGAAGGTAATATTCGACACGGAAGTCGCAGAAGTTGCGTGGGAAAGCTTGGGGACCACCATTTTGTCGGGGTAGTCGATATACCCCACATCTTGGTAGATGACAGCTTCATCCTCGTCTTGTCGCAAGATTTCGAAGCGGTTTGCCAAAGGGAGGAAACTTCCTTGGATCGCGTGGATTAAACAATCGTGGTCTTCGCTTGAGTTGACTTCGACAAGTTGGAGATGTTGTGGCTGGACGTATTTTTTCCATACGAAGCGGACGCTCTACACTCTGAGCTAACGAGACGTTCGAAAATGAACTCGTAGTCAGGGTATCGTAGTCAGTGGTCGAGGGCCGTGGAGGGGGGCACAATGAAGGAAGGGGAGGGTCGTGAGAGGCGGGGGGG